CAAGTCAATAAAAACAAACTTGGTGTAAACTGTTAGACAAGATGGATCACCTGCTCTGTTGGTATTGAAGTATGTCTCTACTTCCTCTTAGTTTTCCATTAATCTGGGCTGAAAACAATAATAATGACCATTGTCTACCAATGTCCACCAATGTCCACTCACATCATCATCATCTCCAAGAGGTCATGACCCCAAACTTTCGGTAAAAATCTGAAATGAACTGAACAATACACATTCCAGCTATCCACATTATTTTATACAAACTTGTATAAATAAGTTTGCCTCTTTTATGATTCATCAGTATTTTTGAAATAATAAGCAGGGTTGTTTTAATTTTCTGTATCTTTACCTTTCGTTTTTGATCTTTAACTTTGTCATTTTCTTGTGATATTTAGTATATTCTTCTGATACCCTTACATCCTTCTTGAATAGCAACCTCATCACTTGGTTTCCTTTCTTTGCAATCATCCTCTTTCTTTCTTGCTTCTAGCTGACTGCTAACAGAAGCAACAGGTACATTCTTTTGTAGAAGGGTGGGGGAGTGATACTCAAATTCAGTGTAGGTTCATATGAAAGATGTTAGAACACACAAATTTTAGGATATTCTGGAGATCTTTTTACTTTCATTTTAACTTTTTTTTCGAAAGGATTAGGAATATTAGTATAGGTCACATGTTTTTTTCTTTTTCATATTGACCAAGTGAGTCAGTTAAGTAAACGGGGGGCTTTATTAAGGTAAGGGTCCAAGTGCCCCTTTCATTTTTTGTTTTGAGGGGGGGGGGGGGAGGGGGTTGAATATGGCATGGAGGTGAAAAGTTCACAAAAGTTTGCAGAACTGCATGATTGACCTAGCCAGCTCAAAACAAATTTTCAACAATTACATGAATATATTTCTGTTTACTTTTGTTTTAGTCATTCAGTGTAGGATCAATCAAAAATCTAAAACTAGAAAAAAAAGGAGGTTAAGTAAAGTTTGTTATTTGACCAATGTTAAACACAAATGTCCTTGTTATTCTTGCAGGTATACATGTGTGTATGGAGGTTCAGAAGTTCAGTATGTTTGGCATTAGTCATATGAATATGTTGAAACTTGCATTATTTTAGGCCTATATATTTACAAAGAATGCCCTCTAACTTCTTTAAGTGCCCCATTCCTCCCCCCCCCTCTCTCTCTCTCTCTCTCTCTCTCTATCTCTCTCTCTCTCTCTCTATCTCTCTCTCTCTCTCCCTCTCTCTCTCTCCTTCTCTCTCTCCCTATCTCTCCCCCTCTCTCTCCATATAACTGTCTTTTTCTTTCCCTCTCCCTTTGAATCTCTCCCTTACGTTCATACTAACAATACAATCGCATTTTGTTTGATACCTCAGTGTGAATGTATCTGTTGTGTATGTATATATGCATGTGAGTCATTACTCAATGTGTTGCTCACATGTTCACACCAGACCGGTGTATGCCCTGTATAGACAGGAGACTGTCCACTTGTTTCCCCATGCTGTGTTCTTTTTAGTCATGTTCACACTTTACATTAATGTGATCAGTGTGAACATGAGTATTATCATGTCCATGTTGGTCCATTCATTCACCATCTTTCCTTTAATAGCCTAGACAATCATGTTAACACGTGACATTAGTGCGACCATTCTAACGCATCAATAAGAACACAACACACCTCAATGTGAACAAGCTGTTGTCACACAGTGTCCAAGCACATGACTGTCCACCCAATGTCCTTGCTGCGGTCTGAGGAGTTCATACTTCCAAGGTTTATTACGTTGAGGATAAACATTCTTGAGGTTGACTGTCTCAAGGATGTAGATGACCAATGGTCACTTGAGACAAACGATGTAAATAAGGTTTGCGGTTGGTCAAGAGATAAAACAAAAACAGGTTAGAAATGGGGTGAATGTGATGGTCATGTGGAACGGGGTCAGGAAGTGACCTGCTTCTTTTGGCTAATAGAATCTATGACATCACATAAACATTCCGGTAGCATACATCTTGTGACGTTGTGAAGGCTATAATGCAGGCCTATGTTTCTAACAAGAGGCATCTTAGTGATTGGCTACCATTCTCCTTAGTTTACCCGTTTTTGTTTTTGTCCCTTTCCATTAATTTGAATCATGCACCAGTCTTTTTGATGTTGTTTAATTTAAATACCAATAAGGTGGAGTATTGTACAGTAACCATGATTGCATGCTACAAAACAAGTGTACCTGGTACTTCTAATACTTAAATCATTTTAAATCAATTTTTGTTCTATAATCAATATTACTATTAAATGAGTAATATTTTTCACATTCTACTTGATTTAAATAAAATAGTTCAGCCAGTTATTTTCAAGAACAGTAGATTTTAAATGTTAAACCTCTCCCAGCTCTCAGCACATATGGGGCTTCAACATGTTTTGGCTTCTTTTCAGGCCCAGTGAGTAAAACTGACTGGCATCCCTGTAGTTACAATCATATGAAAAAATAGTATTATCGAGTAATAACCATATAAGTGCTGAATTAATTTTGTTATCATTTTAGAGACTATAATTAATCAAGCTTACAGCAGACAGACAAAGAGTGTTCATGTTGGATCAAATAAGTAGAAAGATAAAGACAAACGGATGAAAGAATGGCTCTTTGTTTTGGATCTCATAAACTAAATTTACTGACCAGAAATGACTCTCTGGACAGTACTTTTAAGGTCCGAAAAGGCTCCAGATTTTTTTGTTTGGTTGTTGATGTTGGATAAATAAACTGGGGATAAAGTGGGAGATATTTTTAATGCCCCCTTCGACAAAGGAGACCTTCACAGCAGACGCCTTGGACTTGGGCCTGGTAGGAATGATGATGATATTGGTGGAAGTCTGTTAAACTGACAGTAAAATGGTAGCGATTGATGCTGCTCAGGAGGGAGAGAGGTGGAGGAGCTAGGAGAGGGAGGAAGGAGGAAGGGGGATGGAAGGATGTGGGAGGCTGGGGTGAGTGGAGGAACAGTTTTTTGTTGGGGGGGGGGGGGGAAGGGGTCGACGATAGTGAGTAATTGATGTTGATTAGGTTATGTTGTCTTATACTATCTGCTGAACTGATACTATTAATGATGATTAAAATGATATGGATGAAATAGATAATGGAGAAAAAGATGGAGATTATAGTGAAGAATGGAGAATAGAAGGGAAAATGGAAGAAAGGTTTTGGAAGGACATTAGATAATTTCTCTTGTATTTAGCATGATGATAAAGGGCAGTCTGTTAAACTGAGAATGAAATGAAAGCGATTGATGATGACGGAGATGGGCTGAGGAGGAAGGCGTGGCCAAGCGGACGCCAGCAAATGAGATGAAAGTGCGTTAGTTTTTAGGATGCAACTGAGGAGAAGAGAGGAGTGTTGTTTCCTATTGATAAAATGGTTAAAGTTGTTTAGGCCACAATCTTGTTGGCAAAGTTTTTTAAATAGCTTGCTAATTTTAATTGAGGAATAGCTTGAGCTAATTTAAAGTGCAAATGCACATTGTAGTCCCAACAGTATTAGCAGCTACAGTGCAGTGAAAGTAATAGTTGTAGCAGTAGTAGTAGTAGTAGTAGTAGTAGTAGTAGTAGTAGTAGTAATAGTAGTAGCAGCAGCAGTAGCAGCAGCAGCAGCAGGAGGAGTAGTAGTAGTAGTAGTAGTAGTAGTAGTAGTAGTAGTAGTAGTAGTAGTAGTATCGATAGAGAAGTGCTAGTAATGTTTGAAGTTGAGTGAGAGAAATAACATTTATTTGAAGGTGGATGTGAAAGAGTATGGTTATATTGAACAGAGTAACAAATGCTTTTAAAATAATTTGTCATTTTTTTGTCCAAAGGGACATCCAATAGCATTGATACCCATCTGAAAATGATTAAGGGGGGGGGGGGGTGTTTTAAACCCCACTCTCCCCCTAGCCTTCACATTGTCCGCTCGCCTCCAAACTGGACATGACTTACGAAAGTAGGAAGTCCAATACTGGCTCCTGAGTGTCATGAACAATCGCTGACCGCAATTTACGATGTCCAAGCAGGTTTTGGGATTATGTGTATAGAATCCTCCCAGGGGATTTATGGGGATAAATAAAAAGAGAGAAAAAAATAGCATGAAAATAATCTCCGAATAGCCTTGACCTGGCCGGAGCGAAAAGAATGGACATTTGCCAAGACCTGGGCAGTGTATGTATGTGTGTGTACATACATATAGGATATATTGGTATATATAGAAATAGAATGTATGTGTGTGTGTGTGTGGCTGAATTTTTCAATGTCCAGTCTAACACAAATGCCCAGTCTATTTCTGTTTGATATCACACAGCCTTGGCTGTGACTGTGGGTAGTCTGTAGTCGCAGACCCTTGAATGTCTATGATGATAAAGTGTGTGTGTGGAGGTAGGGGGGGGGGGGGGGGGGGGGGGGGTGGGGGTGCCAAAAGAATTGAAACCAACAAAGCTTTGTGATGAGGAGTGTGCATGAAAATTCTATATCCGTGATTTGTTGGTTAATGTCAATTTCTTGATCCCTTTTAATCCTCGATTCTTGTCGGGCCAATGGAGCTATATTATACTGCACATTGCTTTCTGTTTTGAGGAACAGGTTTAAAAGTATTCATACACACATTAGCAATGTTTGCATTGATAAGTAATTTTCTTAATATTTGCAGAGTAGTATGCATTTTAAGATTAGAGAGAGAGACAGGGGGTGGGGGCAGAGAAAGAGAGAGAGGGACAGAGACAGAGACAGAGATAGAGTCAGAGGGGGAGACAGACATATATAGAGACAGATGGACATACAGACATACAGAGAGAGACAGACAGAAAGACAGAGAGGGGGAGGGAGAGATAGACAGAGAGAGAGAGAGAGAGAGAGACAGAGAGACGGACAGACAGAGACAGCTGGAAATATAGACATACATACAAACAGAAAGAAAATCTATACTATAGGACAGCCTACAGAGAAAGAGTACAACCTTTGATTTAATACATAGTAATTATTGAAAAGAAAAGATGTGTTGACATTTCAAGTAGTTTCTCTTGAGTTCTCTGGTAATCTTTTTTCTAAATAGATGATTGAAAATGGGGATGACCCAACCCTTTTTTTGTAATGTGTCGTAGTCCTTAATTTGTTTTGTTAATTCTTGAGGAAGGCACACAATTCAAATTTGTCTGTGAAAGGTAACAAAAAAACTAAGCACGGGTCTGATGGGGGTAGACTACCGAGGCATTCGTGTCTTTGACATTGTAATGTAACACAGCCCCAGAACACGAACCCACCCACACACACACACACACCTAGACACTGCACAGACACGCATGTCCAGTTCGGTTGGTCAGTGTGCTCCCACTATAAATATATATATACACCCAGACTGCAACACACACAGCACACATACCCAGACTTCAGTTATTGGAACAAGTTCAAGATTTTTCAAGCCACTGGTCAGCCTCTCTCTGGTCAGTTTCTCTCACGTGTGATGACCGATACCTCCTCATGCTGGGCTGGCCAGCGCTGGACATAGCTGGACATATCACGCCTCTTCTCTGTAAGTCCGAACAAAAATTTTGCCACCTTGAGAGATTTTACTTTTTGCGTTACAAAGACAAAATAGTGTGACATGCACCTGGGTCTCTTTCGAGTTTTCCCGCCGTGAAAAATTGAGTTTTTAATCAAAGTTTGTAAGAGCTCGTTTTCAGGTAAAGAATTACATGTGTTAAGCGGGGAGAGGGCGGGATAGACAGACTTAGAGAGTCGGGGACAGAGACAGCGTGACAGAGGTAGAGACAGAGAAAGGGGCATATTGACTTGAGGGAGAGGATAGACAGCTAGCTACAATACGACAGGTGTATTTGTAATTTCATGGGGGAGGGGGGGGGGGGGAGACAGACAGACAAGCAGACAGACAGAGACACAGAGAGACACACTCACATGTGCACAGTCAAAGACAGACAGACATGTACATATATATATAGAGAGAGAGAGAGAGAGACAGACAGACAAGCAGACAGACACAGAGAGAGACACACATGCACACATTCAAAGACAGACATGCATATACAGAGAGAGAGAGAGAGAGACAAGCAGACAGACAGACAGAGAGAGTGACACACACATAATTATACCCACACGGACAGAGACACACACACACACATTCAAAGACAGACAAACATGTACAGAGAGACAGACAGATAGACAAGTCATAGGTGGTCTGGGGAGGAGCAAGTTGCAGCAACCCTGTCCCATGAATGTAATAATTAATCAGGAATTCTACAGGGCATAATTATACCGCCTATTATACCACCTCCCCCCCCCCCCCCCCCAAAAAAAAAAAAAAATTATTTGAGGTTTATGAATGCCCCTGGACAGACGCATGTGCGGACAAACACCAGGGGCAGACAGACGGACAGACAGACAGTAGGCCTATAGGCAGATGCAGGTTGAGACAACTAGAGAAATGGGCACAGACAGATAAAGCTGGTAAAGAGATACAGAGGAGACAGACAGAGCTAGGGAGGGAGGGAGGGAGGGAGGGAGAGAGGGAGGGAGGGAGGGAGAGAGGGAGGGAGAGAGAGAGAGAGAGAGAGAGAGAGAGAGAGAGAGAGAGAGAGAGAGAGAGAGAGAGAGAGAGAGAGAGAGCTACTGTAGTCTAGATATATGACAAGTAATTATTTGTTTATCAACATGTATTCAATACTCATATTTGTGTTCAATGGTCTTATTTATCGTTTCTTATTTTCAGCAACACGGCTATAGTAATTGTAATTTCAATTATAACAAAGTAATAATTATTACTTCACACAGCATATTACGACAACTAACTCAAAAAAACTTCTAGATAGTTTATTTGCAATATAAGTGCTCAACTTTTTCTTTAACTAGTTGGCATATATTCTCTAGGCCGTAGATCTATTTCATGGCTGTATACTACTCCCTATACCCCCCTCCCCTTCCTCTTACATGTATATAGTCATATCTTGCTGAAAACAACAACGATAAACAAGAGCACTAAACACAAATATGAGTATTGAGTGAGTACATGTTCAAGGTAAAGACCAGTTCTGGCCATGCGATTGCATTGTGAAAGAAACGTGTAATCGATCAGAAAAGGTTGATCATCTAGCATTTAAGTATTGGTGTGTCGTGCAAGGTTCTGGAATCATCAAAATGATAAGAATTTCGCCCAGTCAAGGTAAAATTACAAGCACTGTACATCAAAACATGAAGTATGGGACTAAGCGACATGTGCGCGATATCTATCCGGTCCAGATAGATATAATAATTTACCAAATTTATCAATTAGTAGGCGGTTTCCCAGCGAAATTTGTATCATCACGTATTAGTCAAAACATATTCTTTCACATGATTGGTAATAAGAGCTTCCATTTCATTTTTTGAGAGGGGGGCGTTTCCAAAACTGGTCTATAGTACCTTCAATAAACAAGCTATTTCTAGTCATATACCGGTATGACTGTATTAGCGCACTCTCTCTCTCTCTCTCTCTCTCTCTCTCTGGTTGTGTCTGTCCCCTCTGTATGGCATGTTGCTTCAGGAATAGTTTACTCACTCAGTAGATTTGCTTCTTCTCTCCTTTGTTTCACTATTTGGTAGGGTACCTACCTGGTTACATGCAGTGCAATAGGTATACATGTATCGCGAAGGCCTATATGTTCACTATCTAAAGGAGATATGAAACCCTTATATAAGGTTTCTTGCCAGAAAGGATCAATATAAATGGAGGTTAAGAACAGAATTTTTTTGATTTTTCAGGTATATAATGCATGGAGCATCTCTGTCTAAAATTGTCTGTCTGTCCGTCTCTCTCTCTCTCTCTCTCTTTCTCTCGCCCCTCCCCCACATTTCTCATCCCCCCTTTCTTTCTCGCCCTCTATTTATCCCTAGTATTTTCTTCCACCTTCTCATTTCTCTTTCCTCTTTCTCATGACTTCCCCCCCCCCCCTCCCTCCCATTCTTTGATCTCTCTCTCTCTGCCTCTCTGCATGTCTATCAAACCTTTTCTTCCTCCTTTCTCATCCTCTACTTGTATTCTATTAGCATTAACCCCCCCCCCCCCCACACACACACACACACACATGAATGTCTCTCCATCCCACCCATCCACCCCCTTTTTTTCCACCTCTCTCCCTCTCTCTGTCTCCCTCTCTCTCTCTCATTGGCTGTAAGGTATACTCTCATTCTTGATGTGGTATGGTATGTGTGCTGGTTGGTCAGTGTTAGCACACATCTTACCTGATTCCTTGTCGGTCTGTCAACATGGCTGACCACAACCCCCCAAATAAGGACAAGGAGGGTCAAAAGGTCACCGCCGATTCCGAGAGTCTTGGGGCCACAATCGCCAAGCAAAGGTCCTCAAACTTTGACAAGGTTATGATCAAAGGAGAAACCCTGAAGAAGTATGTCTAAAGGGTCCCGCTTATTGTTGTGTTTGGAGAAGGGGCGGGGTGGAGAGATTGGGGGCACAGTTTTTTTGTCTCATGCCACGTTCCTTGGACAGCGGCCAAATTCCAGGATGATCATCAACTAACCAAATGGTTGTGAGCAATTTTCTGAATCAAACTGAGGGAGAGATGGAATGGTTATGAAAAAAATAAACTCTTGACTTTCATCCTGCTACCGTAGTAGGGAAGATGATGCTGCTTACTTGCTTTGAATGAAGGTTAAAGTAAAAAAAATGCTTCAGATCTTTGAAGTATTTCATTTAGAATCCTGCTCATGTGTACTTCTATGTTTCCCCTTTACCTTGCATCATTTGCTCTCCTCAGGAATCCTCTTGAACTTGTTTAAGGCATTTTCATTGAGATGAAATTCCATCTGGATATGCCATGCTCATATTGTTTTACCACCCCCAACCCAACCGCTTTACAAGATTTTGCAGCTAGGTCTACTTTTGTCAATCTGCAGGGAAACTTACTCTCCTGTATAGCCTATGCCAGTGCCATTGATTAAGAGACCTGGTTCAAGTTGGACACAATATGGCAACTACTGCTTTGTTGGTCAAGCACAAAACAAAAGAATATACGCCATGTTGTGACCCAGTGAAATCAAGTTGGCCAAACTCTGTGTATAGATGGCTCTGGCCTATGCCAAGTCGTGATTTCAAACCCCTGCATGGCACTTATGGCTTTGCAAGGCATTTTATCTACATTGCTTCCCTTCACCCAAGTGTAGTAGTAGCTATTTCCAACTTTACAGCCACATGACCATCTTCTCCCTCGCTCTCTCTCTCTCTCTTTCTATATGTCTTTGACCAGATGATACCTGTCATAGCGACACGCCAACCGCAATGGCCACAAACGGTACTTCACTTCACATTGGTACATAATAAGCCTAACATATATGTCCTCTAAATGTGCCTTTGAACGGACAATGGATTCACTCAAAGCCTATCCTAAAACCAAACCACCTTCACTCTTTTTGTTTGTCTTTGACTAGATGATACTCCGAGCCACTCGCCAACCGCAAAGGCCGCAACTTGTACCTCACATCGCTTTCTTTTCATTACACATGATCAGAAGCAGCTAGTACTGGAACTTCAATCAGTCATGCATATGTTCTTTACCATCTTCTCTTTCTACGTGTGTCTTCGACTAGATGATTCTCCGAGCCACTCGCCTACCGCAATGGCCGCAACCAGTACCTCACATAACTTCCTTTTCCCTATACGTGAACAGAAGCAGCTCAATCAGTCATTCATATGTTCTTTACAGTTCTACAACCTTGTAACCATCTTCTCTTTCTATTTGTGTCTTTGACTAGATGATACCCCGAGCCACACGCCCACCGCAATGGCCGCAACCAGTACCTCACATCAGCCCGTCCAGAAACCCACCTCAACCCAAGGTCACATGCAATCACCACCGCCCAACTCTTGCTGTCAGGTCTGCGGCGACAAGTCTTCAGGATTCCACTACGGCGTCTTAGCCTGTGAAGGATGCAAAGTAAGTCAATTTTTACATGATTTTGCGGAACATCGTGACTTGTAGCGTGATGGCGTCTTGAATGAAACACTGCCATGGGTCCAATGATTATCAGCTCTCCTCTATATGTGTCTGACCAAGCTAGTTAGAACAAGGATATCATAGTTCTAACCCATCAAGAAAGTCCATAATATAAAAAATTACGGTATTACTTTTTTCTTCATAAAATACTTTTTTTTTTTTTTTTTGCAAGTGCCCTAAAACTTTGATCACTACTTCAATGGAAAACTCAATGGAGATTTATGAAGAGTACGTATTTATAAAAAGTGAAAGCTTAAATATTCTCAAAAAGAATGAAACGCTGATAATACAGAAAAAACTGAAAAACTTAGCTACTGTTGAACTATAGGTCCTGATATGGAAATAACAGCATGAGGAACGGACATTTCTGCATTGGAAGTGTGTCTTTTTTGGCTTGAAAGAACACCTATAGTTTGAAATTCATGGGGGCTAATTGAGCTTCTCTGTATGGCCAACATTTCTTGAGATTTGTCTTAGATAATGGCGGGATGGTGGATCATTTCATTCTGATATCACTCTTTATGAAAAAGAAGCATTGCCTCGCATTTGACTTTGCATGCTTCCTTAATATTCCCAATCGATGCCCTCCTCCTCCTCTTGCTCAGCTCCAATGGTTGGAAGAACATCATCTATTTGCTCTACAATTTTATCTGCATTACATGTTGAAGGTCTTCTTGTAGCTTTAAAGCCCCTCTGCACTTCTTTGGCCAGGAGGGATTAGACAGGTGGTTACCAATGGTCACCGCTTAGGCACTATTTACTATATAGAGGGCGCAATTAGTAGCTATGGGGCGTGGGGCGTTACCAATAGTTTCATCTTATCTTCTTTAATCCCTTCTCTGCATCAAACAGGGCTTCTTCAGGAGAAGCAGCAAAAGAGAAAAGGAGTACACATGTCGTCATGGCAACGGTCACTGTACGATAGGGAGGATGAATCGCAACAGATGTCAGCATTGTCGCTTTAAGAAGTGCTTGGCGGTAGGCATGTCAAGAGACGGTAAGACATGTGAGAGATGCTTCCCCTATCTTATCTTTTCAGTTTATTTCTGCTCTTTTTATTTATCCATTATTATTTATACGTTTACTTGTTCGTTTGTTGATTTACGTACTGATTTATTTATAGATTGATTTATTTTTATTATTATTTTTTGAATTATTTGTTGCTTTATAAGTTATCGATATGAACACCCTTTCCGTGCACCCTTGATTTTGCATGCTTTTGGGGGGCTCAAGCCCACCCCCCCCCCCTCTAACAAACAATCCTGCCCCTCCTCCCTTAGGCGATCTAAGTCTTTGTGGAACACCCCCTCTAGACTTGGTCAAAGACGTACCAAGGACTCGATGCCTTTCTGGAACTTTGTTGGAGAACACCTCACGCTTGTGGAGGGTATAACCCAGTTCTTAACGATGACCTAGTAATGGCCATTCGGCGCAAACCAGTCGAGCGTTGATTAGTAGCAGTAGTAAATCAGAGTGGACCGCCCTCTATTAGCGGCAATTAAAGCTTAATAACTCGTAGCTATCACTTGGGCAACCTTTCGCACCTTTCAAAGGTGAAAGTCATAGAGGTCTATGAGCCACTTCCTATGGTGGTTTAGAGGCAGAAGGTACTAATGGCCACGCCCGGGAGCCAGCACAGACGCCCTTTTGGCTCCTGAAGCTGGGTGGTGCGCGTAATTGAGCAAGCTTTGTTGATTCTGTGAGTAAGGGGGGTTAGTCAGTGCGCTGTTTCTCAGTTTGACAGGGACGACTGTGAAGCGGGCCTGTTCAGACAAGCATGTAGAAAACATGCATCAAGGAACGTCATAATAATTAATCGTCACATACCTGAAGGTTGTGCACACGTGTGAAGGTTTATTACGGTATATAAAGAAACGTGTAAAGAAACTACACATCTAGTTACGTGTAGTTACAAAGAGGTCAGTAGACCCGACAGTCACAGTTACAGTAGCATATCATCAGTACTTGCTCACGATTTAAGCCCCAACCACTTATACAGGTTTTGTGCAATGCAATGCTCAGAGGAGAATCGAAAAACCTAATTCTTTCTTGATTTGATTTGATTTTTGTATATGATTTTTGTTTTGCTTCATGAATGTATCATGTTATAGGACTTTCAGACTAGAAAAAAAACCTTCAATGATAGTGATAATAATAATAAAAACCTTACTTATAAAGCGCTTACCACCGAAGTCTCTAATCGCTATAACAAACAAATTAGACTGAAAAACAATGACATATTAAAGAAACAAAAAAGTGCAAATAAACCTACGAATATCGTATAGCCATCCGGTTTTCGTATTCATGTAGCGGCTGTACGATGAATTAGGGTAGGCTGAATGGGGGGTAGGTGTCATAAGTCAAAGCTGGGGCTTCCCAGGACTCTAATCTGTTCTAATCAACACCACTTCCCCTGATGGGGTGCTTGTCACTCATGCCCCCTGCGTTGGAGAGGGAGGGGGGCGGAGAGGGAGGGGGGCGGAGCCGGGTGAGAACCATTAAAAATTACTCAACTTCATAATCATCAGTCAGAGATGGTAGGCAATGTTGTCTAAGGCACCAATGAATACTTGAAAATATTTTAACATTTTCATGTAAGTATTTGAACTGCTTGTTAACTGGCCTCTGAATTTGAAAAAAAAAGGAGAAATATCTCTGAGAATACTATTAAATGATCAGCTTTTAGGAAGGTTGTTAATGATAATTTTAATAGAAATAATGAGAATGATTTGTAAGTTATCAATCTTGTTTAAAAAGTGAAAGTTATTGGTGATATTGGACAAAAACAATACAAATCCTTCAGAGGAGCAATCAAACAAAACTTTCACATTTTATAATAATAATAATAAAAATTTGTTTATAAAACACTTACCACCGAATTCTCTAAGCGCTATAACAAACAAAATAGACTAGCAATTACATATTAAACAAAACAAAAAAACATTTATTTCACTTCCCACATTAAATCTGTGGTGGTTAAACCGGTTTAATGCTTTCAGGACAGAATTGACTTTTAGCGCTTTATTGATCGCATATTGTTCTTCAAGTTAATTTTTTGCCACAAATAAAATAAAATAAATTGTCTGTGAAAAAACAATGTACATAGGTGAGAATGTCCAAAAATTGCCAATTTTGATCGAAAAACATTAAAAAACTTATCCCTTTTGCCCTTCCTTCTTTCCCTCCTTCTTCCCTCCTCCACTGTGGCGCCTCAATGGAGAACGGGAAGTGACACACCTCCTCGACATTAACATTTTCACGCTGCATAATATTGACAATTTTGCGACTCATCTCGGGCTCTCCTAGCTGACTCAAATTTTGACGATGGGGTTTCCCTTTTGCACGAAAGGTCTAGAAACGAATTGCACAGAGCCTGTTTGAAGATAAAGTTAGTCGAGTTCTGGTCATGCGATTGCATTGCGAAAGAAATAGTGTGGTATCGATCAGAAAATGTTGATCGTCTAGCATATAAGTATTGCTGTGTACTGCAAGGTTCTGGAATCATCAAAGTGATATGAAATTTGGCCCAGTCTTGGAAATGTTACAAGCACTGTACACAGAAAGATGTCTATGAGACTACACAAATATGTGGCATAAAAATCTGTCACGCTTTGTATGCTGTTACATGCCATATTTAGAATATTAATGCATTTGAAGAGCCATGCTTTTCAGGAAACATTTTTAATCTGATGTTCTTCCACACTTGCAAAATAACAATGATAACGCTCACAAATTATTTTTCACCTCTTTCCAGAACTCTATTATAGATTTGGACAAATTGTAATTAAAGGAATTCTGAAAATTTATTATCTTTAGAAACAAAACCTGTTTTTAAGATGCCTTAGTCTCATAGCGGTTTGTTTTGAGGGCATTCTGGTTTAGTTTGAAATTGAAATCAGGATTAGAATCTTAACAAAATCATTTTCTGATTCCAAGCAATAGAGATATTGAGAACCTTATGGTAATATTGCATCAATGTTTGTGGCATGTTCTTAATGTTTGAAAACTAGTATTTCATAATTCTATATTTCCTTCTTGCCTTCAATTTGTAGATTGAGTAACTGTTACTTCAGTTGATTATGCTTATGACATATCTGTGATCTTGTCAGAATTGGGGGGTGTTTCACAAAGATTCTAAGTCAAACTTAACTCTAAGTTGGACTTAAATATTATGGAGAGCCATTTGTAGCTTGATAATGAAATATATTCAAAAGCAAAAATTCAAGTATTTTAGACTTGTCATAAATTCCACATCAAGAACATGAAATCTCCCATGATAATAGAAAATATGAATGATTTGAATCAACATTTTATGCCTTTTAAAATAACTTTTACAAAATATTTTCAAGGATGCTAATGGCTTTCCATAATTGGTAAGTCCAACTCAGAGATAAGTTCAACTTAGAATCTTTGTGCAACACCCCCACCCACCCCCCCCCAGAAAGGTGCTTCATGTTTTGGGATTCCTAATGACTCACAGTTCTTGGTACCTTGTTGCTTGAAATTATCCAGACTGTGACTTAAGTCCTTGTACCATCAACATGTCATGTCCATGATCTCATAATGCCATGTTGCCCCAGCCAAAGGAAGGGGCTTAACTTAACAAGGTTGAATGTTAGAGGGCAGGATTTCCAACAAGTGCGTTGTACTTTTTGACGGACTTGAGGCCTGATGTCAGGAACATCCTGTATTCTGAAATGTGTGAAATATATCATTCCATAGGAAAGGGGATAAAGCAATAAGAGGGAGTGGAAGAAAGAGATGGTGGGGGAGAGAGAAAGAAGAAGAAAAAGAGGGGGTACAGAGAGAGAGAGAGAGTGAGAGTGGAAGGGGGGGGGGGGGGGGTAAAGAGAGGAGGGGAGATTGAAAGTAAGAAGAAAGAAAGGAAGGTGTTCTTGTTTGGGGACAATATTTTCCTTCCCAAAATGCTGTACATTTTAGGATATAAATTTTGCATGCAAAAAACTGAATTTCAACCAAAAATATTGCCAAAACCAGCAGTGAGTGACAGCAAGTGCTGACACTGCAATGACAATGGTTAGCACCCTGGACTTTGTACTTTAGAGCTATCTATAATAAAAGGATCCATCCTATTTTGTCCCAACGTGCTTGATCCTTGCAATAATTTGATAGGCTTTTATTTTAATGATGCTTTATCCACTTCGGGACACAAAATGACCAAATGATCGACTTGCTACGAGAGAATCATCCCCAAATCGTATTAATCCACTTTAATTGTTGTATTTTGTTTTATTTTGTTTAAAGCAGCTGTTAGGTACGGCAGGGTTCCTCAGAGGGGTAAGAAGAACGGACCGGTAGCGGGCTTATCACCGGGCGGGGCCACGGCGATGCGGAAGAAGAGCACGGACTCTGAATACGGGCCCAGCGACACGGACGACATCCTCCAGCCGTTCCCTCCCATGCCTGTCAACGGTTCGACCTTTGACCTGACCCCGCCCCATTCTATGCTACCGATGGGGGCGGACCCGTCGTTGCACCTCAAGCAGGCCGAGATGTACGAGCTAGTAAACACGATATCGTATGCTTTCCGTATGACGTGTTTGTATACACCATCCAGTGCACCGTTTCTCAGGGGCTTCACGTTTCCTCAGGTAAGAAGCTAATTCTTCTCACTTTTTAGAGGTGTCGTGGTCGGGTGGATATGTCACCGGACTGTCGATCAAAAGGTCCTCGGTTCGAGTCTCGCCACGACACCAATGTCCTTTGGCAAGACGTTGATCTACATTTGCCACACTCAACCCAGGTGATGTAAATGGGTACTCGGAAGGCTCCGAAATGCACTGGAAAGCAAATGCTTGAGGCACACTTATGAAATACAACCAAAAAAGAAAAGAAAAAAATATCACGTAGAAGTATCTGCATTATGAACAATGGAGCAGGAGTAAGACAGTACAAAATAAAATGAAAGAACAATTAACCATATTCCAAATTAAACAGATAGGTTTAAGATTTTTTGACAAGACTTGTCTCAAATAAATTTACAACCTGAAAGTGTATCACTAATAAGATGAAGGGTATTCAATTTGAAATATGGAGCTCTTTCTTGAAATGGTATAATAGTCCAGCTTTTGGTGTGGTGGAGATTCATTAGATGATACTCCTTCTTCTAAAATCATTACCAGAACTGCTAACCATGGACATCAGATTTAAAGCCACACTGTACTACTTGTAGCTACTTGCTCCCTCTACATAGAAAACTTCCCCAATCGGTGCCTTGTGGTAACCCCATGATCCTCTTTTTCTTATGTTAATTGAGAGCTGAGTAAATGAGATAGCCACCTGTCAGTGACCTTGCTGGGTGGTCTAATTCCTTCTGGCTGAATTAGTATAGCCGGCCTTTAAGAATGAGGTTTTGTATGATTTTTAAATATATTTACCTGAAGAATGGTTATCATTTTTGATGTATTTTCTTCCATCGCCACAGGAAAATCAAAACTCTCACTTTCCGAGCGAAGACATGGATGCTCGGGGTCGAAATCAGTGGGTCCAGTTGGCCCATATTCTTGACCAAGCCGTCAGCGGTCAAGTGGAATTTGCCAAAGCCATTCCAGGGTTCAGGAATTTGACCCAGGATGACCAACTGCTCTTACTGAAATCTAGGTGAGTTATCTAATGATTAGGTTGTCTTACTGAAAGTTCGATGAAATAGAGAATGACCAGTTGGTCTTTTTAAAAACTAGATGAAGTACAGAATAGTATCATTAGTTGGTGTCACTACCAATCATGTTTTATACATGATGAATTGGTCTTACTAAAATGACCGGTTGGTTTTATTCAGACTACTCTAAAAGTAGAAATATTTGCTGAACATTAACTTTCGCGGATCTTGCGCTAAGATCGGCAAGCACAAATTTTAGAACTCGCGAAAATATAAGCATGACTTCTTATGCATGTTTTGAATGGATGAATTGCGTGCAACACAAATTTAAGAACCAGCGAATATGCTTTCGGGTCTTTGTTTTAAACTAGATGAAGTACAAGATTGGTCTTACTAAAATCTGTGTTAAATACAGAATGACCAGTTGGGTTTATTCAGACTACTCTTTCGGGTCGCTCAGCGTGAAAAAATTAATCACGCCAAAAAATCAGCGTTATATGATATGCAGTTTAACTGTTGCCTTCTTAGGATTAAGTGGATATGAAAATATATATTGTGTTTATTACCTAGAACTTATTTTAAAATAACGTTTACTCAGTTACGTGAAAGAAAAAGCTAATAGAATGTTAAAAAGGAAAAAGGTGTGCAATTTATGGGGGGATAGAATAAACATGGTGGTGAGAGGCAAAGTAGATAAAATACCTTGGTTAGGGAAAGTGCTGCATCAGAGATTGAACCCATGTCCTTCGCATCTGCAGTCAAGTGTCTAAACCTCATTTCTCTTTTTCTTCAAATTTTGCCAGTTTCTTTGAAATGTGGGTTGTAAGGATCGCCCCTCTCCTCATGATTCCTTCCGCCCCCCACACCAACAATGGAATGGGTCCGTTGATGGCATCACTTACCATGGACATGCACCACTCCCCATCATCTGGGGTCAACGGCATGGGTACAGGGTCGTTACTATGGCAACAGCTCTACCACGTGTTCGGCAGCGACCTCTACCACGCCATGCATCAGTTTTCGCAAGAGTTCAATCAGCTGGGTTTGCTGGAAACGGAGGTGGCGCTGTATGCATCTTCCCTACTAGCAGCAAATGGTAGGGTATTGCTAGATTTCCAAGATCTTTTCGTAATCAAGGAGATGATTACATCTGTTAAAGGCATCGTTAAATCTGAGATGCATGGCCCCACGTGTTATCAGTGTCTGTGATATGGTGTAATATTGAAGCCCTAAAAAAATTGCGCTTCAAAATATCAAGAAGTGCCTCAAAAAAGTGAAACATCTTTGAGTGACCGGTTTTACCTACTCGTTTTCCCCAATTGTGTTATGAAAACCGTTAGGAAAACGCACAATTTGGTTTCAATTTCCAATCATAAATATCTTGATAATCAGACAGGCGATCGTCTTGTAAAAGTCATGGGATTCCTGACTGACCTAAAGGTTTATAATTATCATTGCAGCATGAGCTAAATCAAGGATTTTTTTAAAGAATCTAAGACAAAGTTACGGGATCCCTTTAAGAGCTAGAATGATTTACGTACAGGTAGCAAAATCATGGTTCTCAGCCCTTTGGTAAGGCATTAATCCTCACTACCAGGTCCCTCGGAGAGGACCTAAAGCCGTCGGCCATCTGGTTGCTTACTTACAAGCATTTTTGCTTTCTTAGCAGTCAGGTAAAATAACCATCAACCATCACAGTTAAATAGGAAAAATATTTCATGACACATATTTGATAGACTAAACTGAAACGCAGATATGCACAATTAGGGATCAGGGGTTGAATACTACTTGACATTGGACTTGTATTACAGCGAGATCAGATGAACAAATGTAACAGTATTCCAGGAAAATAGGTCTAGATGTCTTAAAAAGGACTGCTAGAGCATAGCTGCCAACCATTCCTATTTTGGAGGAATGATCCAATTTTTTGTCCTTCTGTTATTGTTTGGAACCCCAAATTCCTCTCTTTTTATGAATTATCCTGTGTGAAAAGTGTAAAATATACAAAATAGACTGTATTCCTAATTTTGCCTTGAGAGATTCCTAATATTCGCTGTGAAAGGTTGGCGGGTGTTCTATATGTATATTGGGGTATAGGAAGTTAGGAGATTTGTGTACTGCTTAGCGCTATCTCGTGGATGAGTGAATACGTCACAGGACTGTCGATCACAAGGTCGCGGTACAAATCCCGCCTCGGCACTAATGTCCTTTGGTAAGACATTGATCTATATTTGCCACACTCCACCCAGGTGAAGTAAATGGGGACTGGTAGAAAGGAATTCTTTGAATGCTGTGAGCACCGAAATTGGACGCGTAGTAGAGCTGGGGTAATATTGGAGTGCATTGAGCACCTTGCAGGGTGGATATGTGCGCTATATAAATATCCAATATTATTATTATTATTTTGTATTTCTGATATTTTCTGGTGTATTCTCCTTCAGATATCATGGGTTTAAGCAATCCGCAAGCAGTGGCGGAGCTTCAACACCAGCTGGTCGAAGCCCTTCAGGTCCAAGTTGACGGCAACCACCCGTCAGCCGCCGCCCCACTCATGGCGACCCTCTACGGGCGGGTCCAGGAGCTGAGGCGAATCGGTGGCATGCATCGGGACTTCGTGATGGGGTGCTCGCAACGCTGGCCCGACCTCTGCCCCGGGCTTCCTGCGCTATACACCGAAATGATGGACATAACGGTGATGTGATGGAGGGAAGGAGAGGATGGCGGAGGAGCGGAAAGCAGAAAGGCAACTCTGAGTTATCATCTACAAGATGATAGCTGTTCTAGTGATAGTAAGGATTGATGGTCGAAGGAAAGAACTGATGACTTCATGCTACTAGGAATGAAAAAAAAGAAAGAAAGAACTTTCATGTTTGACCGAGAAAAGGAAGGAATGTTGGATGAGAAGAGTTACTGTATTTAGGTTGGAATGTTTAATGGTTGTACATGTACTCACGGCTGCAGGATATCCTATGGAAAGAGAGAAATGATATAAAATATGATATGCGGACAGAAAATCAACTTCTTTAGGATATCAAATAAGTGCATCTTATGTTACCCAAAGACAGTTGGTTTTAAAAATGTGACCACAGAGAATTGGGTATAAAGCTTTAGACAATTGGAAAATAACCTGAAGGTAAATAAGGGTCATGACCTTATGACCATAAGGTGAATAAGGTCATGACCTTAAGATAAATGAGGTCATGGCCTAAAGGTTTATGATGTCATGATGTTAAAGTCAGGGAGGTCATGACCTTAAAATAAATAAGGGTCATGACCTTATGCCCTTAAGGTGAATAAGGTCATGACCTTAAAATAAATGAGGTCATGGCCTTAAGGATTATGATGTCATGATCTTAAAGTCAGGGACATCATGACCTTAAAATAAATGAGGTCATGGCCTTAAGGATTATGATGTCATGATCTTAAAGTCAGGGACATCATGACCTTAAAATAAATGAGGTCATGACTTCATGGTGAATGAGATCATGACCATCAGGGTTATGAACTAATGGCAGATATGATTTATATTCAGGGTTTATAAGGTAAAGTTCCAGAAGATACTCTACGTGTAGTAAGGAACAAGCAGCTTTTAAACAGAACATGGGATTCGAAAGGCCCAGATTTGAAAACTTTATTGGCCAAATGAGAAATTCATTGCAAGGTCAAAGGTCAGAGGTCAACATTAGAAATTCACGTAAAGATAACATTTTATCTTGCACAGCAGAGAGCAAAGAGATGTTTCATCCCGGTGAAAATACGGGGATCGAAAAACAAGATTTATGTAGATGGTCATAGTTACAGTAGCGTTAAAGATGGTTATGGTAGTAATAAAGAAAAAAGAGGAAAAGGAAAGTGACTTGTTTATTATCATCAGTGTGAAGATAAGCAGAACGTCGCCGATCGATGTTAAAGTTGCGTGTAGTCCGAGCAGTGTAAACCAGTATTTCTTTGTTTGTCATGTGGAAAAACATTTTTTATGGTTGGTTGTTTTTGCGTATAAACTCAAAATGTATACTGCCGAGAATTTATCTCTAAGATGATGGCAGCAAATTATTCAAACTGTGTGTGATTTTTCAGAAAATACAAGAAGATATACAGTTCAGGGGCATTTTATTATGAAGCAAGCGTTTTGTTTTTTTTGCTTTTAGCATTTAACTTTGTAATATAAATATAAATATATATATATAAATATATATATATATACACGCATTAATGTGAGCTAACTATATATGAGTCTATCTTGCTTAAAAATCGGTTTTTCCTGATTAGTATGCGCATAATTATGTGGATAAGGTGCCAAAAAAGAATGTGATGTGTTTTGATTTAGAGAAGTGGGTGGAAGTTGGACATCAAAGTTACGCCTTTCTTCCGCTCATTTATGTAGCAAATGGACTTTTTGTATCGCAAGTTATGATAATACACTTCAGTGTGAGTTTTAATGTAGTTTGCCTAGATATGCTTGTACAATAAAGGCTAGTAAACATAATGTTGATTAAAAATACGTACCTGTATTATGCAGTTTTGTAAATATCTATCACAGTCTACGCAGGTATGAAACGGCAGGGAAATTCTCGTTATAATTCTTTCATATTTTTTCCTCTCTTTTCTATATGCTTATGTTTTTTTATGTCTATATATTTAGATATCGGTTCCTAATTTGGGTACCATATACAGTAATATCTAGGATTTTTTCCCCTATCATTTCTCACATTTTTATAGTGTATGTATCATCTTGTTATTAAAGGTGTTTAATGGTTTTTATTCATACAGAAGAGACTTTGAAATGTGAACATGTGAAATTCCAGGTCTGTTTCGATCTGAAGTTGTTTTTTTTTCATTTCAGGGCAAATCCCTGTACTTACCTCTCCCCACTGCAAAGCAAACATGTTGCTTCTTTGAATTTTGAAGAAACGTTGCAAACCATCCAGAGTCACTTCCACTTGGTTAACCGATTATTCCGGGGAGTTCTTTTTCAGAGGATATTTTTGTATTTTGCTCAAAACTTTTGTATGCACTTTGTATTTACCTCACAGTTGTACCTCCAAGCAAGTAAGAGTCTACGGAAGCCATTTTTTTATGCCGTTTTGTTATTATTGCTGTTATTATATGGATATTCGGCAGGAGAATGGATTATTTCGTGGATTTTTTGCCAAGCTATTGATGTTCATACTACCTCATTTTTTTGTCAGTGCCTAGTTGTGTGTACTTGTTTCATGGATAGCATGAATACGAATGAAAAAGGAGAAACCGTGAAGAAAATGAAGAATTGAATGAGACTTTATAATTATTTCACAGATTTGTATCGATGGCATTATCATAGAATTACATACATACCCATTTTTAGACTCTCAAATTAAAAGTTACTAATCGAGGGAAAGAAGGGCCTCCAGGTGAAAACATTTTGTAATTTAAAGAGAAGGTTGAGTTCTGGGAAGAGGTGAAAAATAATTTGTGAGCGTTATCATTGTATTTAATATGCAAGTGTGGAAGAACATCAGATAAAACATGTTCCCTGAAAAGCATGGCTCTTCAAGTGCCTTGATATTTTAAATATGGCATGTAACATCATATAAATCGGGACAGATTTTTTTCGCCACATGTTTGTCTAGTCCCATATACATCTTTCTGTGTATAGTGCTTGCAGTTTTACCAAGACTGGGCCAAATTTCTTATCATTTTGATGATTCCAGAACCTTGCAGTACACACCAATACCAGACGATCTACCTTTTCTGATCAATTTCACAACGTTTCTTTCACAATGCAATCGCATGACCAGAACTCGACTTTGTCTTTAACTCTCATCCATTGAAAGCCAGTAGGGAGTTCACTTTATGTTAAATGATATTACGTAACACTCTTCTAGCCCTTGACAGACAACACTACTGAAACAACATGTACAGTGTTCCAGTAACATAAAAGAATGAGATATGACGTTTTCAAAATGCAGTTGCTCTTCAACATTTCTAGATGCTGATTGAAAATCGTTTGTGGCTTGTTCAGACATGACGTTGAACTGCCAGTGGCGTTTTTTTTAAAATGATGACGTTAAGCGTAATACACTTCACGTCTCTGTATCTTATCATACAGAGCTCCGTGGATAAGCGCGACTCATTTGTTGCGCCTAGTTGCAGTTCGTAAAGTTTTAAACAAAACTGCAGCGATTTTTGTTGCAGCGGCATATCTGAACCAGCCTTTAGAGTGTGGTTTTAGAATACAGGTAAGGGGGGTGTTTCACAAAACTTGTCATCAGTGACAAATGACAGTTTTTGTTATAAGCTACTGAAATCCTTGCTTCTGATTGGCTACCAGCAGATTTGTCACTGATTTTTGTAAATTGTCATTGAAAAAAGGCTTTGTGAAACAGGTCTGGGGTGTCATTTCTTTGGGAGAGATCTGTAGATAGTTTAAGTTTAAACGCAACTGCTTTTTCTATCAAAATATATCATTCAAAAGCCCCTTGGATTTCCCATGAAATTGTACCTGCCCAACTCATTACCTTTTACTGTAAAACAGGAAAAGTACAGAATTAATTGTACTAATTTTTTTTCCAGACTCTATTGAAATTTTAAAATCCTGTAGGTGACATTAGTGCCATTGTTTTATGTTATTTTTATTTTAAGAGCAACTGAAATTTATAGACCAGTCTTGGTTTCTCATGTTAGTTTTTCCTATTTTTTGTATTTTCTTGCTTGCATTTTCTTGTGGGAAATGACAAGAGGAAATATCCCCTGAAATACTTGAGCCATTTGTTCATGTTTCTGGCTGTAATACTCTTCCCATTAACATATGTAGCACCTTTTGAGAGTACATGCTTCAATTGAAAACCAATTGCAAATGCAATTGAATAAAATATCCATTACTGAGTCACTGATTCATTTCAATAATAGGACGCTGAAGAGATAAAGCTTTACAAAATGTTGTTACTCATTCTATAGAATTTCTTTAGAATTTTACTCGGTCAACCAAAACATGCTGATTTTGAGACAGTCCTGCTACGCAGTTTATCAAGTTAAGTTTTCATTTTACACATGAGTAACTTGTACGCAACAAATTTGCACGACTCTGATTCCATTTAGTTTTAATGAATTGTAATGCATGCATTGAAACATGATTAATTTGTGTTTGTTTTGTAAATTCACCAAGTTTCTTAGCCTATGTCATGGTCAAAGAAAAAGTCATTTTAACTGGATTAATATTTGCAATTTTTTTAATAATTTTCATATTTTATTCATGTTTGGTAGAATACCTTCATATTTTCAAAAAGAATTTTGTGCAAGTTTTAGACCAATTTTTAATTGCAATGTCACAACTCTTTCCTGTTTTTATTTGTTGTACGTCTGAGATCTATTCTCTGTCTTCATTATATAATGGTTAAAAACAAGTTTTATATGAAGCTTCTTTGCCACAAATTAAGATTGTCACGTTGTTGTGTTTTATATAAATATGCCTCCACCCTTAACTGAAATAAGCTTGAAATTGACATTGTCCAGAATGGCTGAATGTTTTTTCCTCGTGCCATTGCTTTCCAACTCAATAATTGAAATAATGTTCAAACTCATTGCCAAACTACACATACGTGTTAACTTGATAGAATATGTAGTCTGTGTATGAATATCTGGAAGTGATTTAGTGCCCCTTAGCAATTTACATGATATGTCTCAAATTTCGTTTTGGAAATGTGCGTAAGAATCCTCGCTCTTAAAGAGAGACAGTCAACTTTTGTTTTTTATATATTTTTTTCTTCATTTTAGAATATCATGTTTGTGAAAAACTCAATGGAAAATGTTTGAGTTAAGAGGAAGAATCGTGAGCAGTAACCATATCAAATTATTCTAATTGGAAAAAAACTGAGATTTTGGGAAACATTATTGGATCAAACAGCTTTATATTTCCCTGAGGGCAGATGTAGGGGCCTGAAAAGACATGTCCGAAACGCAAAAGACTCAATTGTTCCTGATATCATTGGATTCAAGTTTTAATTTGACTTGACTGACAGTTGTGTTGTTATTAAGCCTAGTCGATGTTGTAGAGTTTGTTTATATCATGACCAAAAGAAATGATGGTTTTTCTATGCCATGGAATCATGATTTTACAGGATAAAAATATTGTGGAAAATCATGATTTTCCACAATAATATATTTTGTGTTCCGGACGTATCTTTGTGTCCCAACATTTCATTGAGCTACCTAATTAAGTGATTTTATGTAATTTGGCCAGTAATGAAGAACCTTGTTATCCCCTCTTGAGTAATGTACGTACGTCAAAGGTCAAAGGTTTTAGCTCATTAAATATGCAAAAATACACCATTAATATCAAATCATGTTTGTACAATCTTACGTAAGAACTATTCTTTAATTATTTAACTTGTGTGTGAATAAGATAATTAGAATACATATGACTGTATATTTCTTCCACTTTGTTCAAATCGGGTTATAAGGTCGTAAGTACAATTTTCACAATTCGGGTTGTTATACAAGATTCCTCATTTTGCTTATTCAGGGTCTGTAATGTTTTCTTCCATTGAATAACAAGTTTTTAGAAATAAATATTCTCTGTATATAGTCTGTCGTTTCATATATAAGGGAATGCAAGTTCACACTGAAAATGGATGTTGTTTACAATTCCCAAAATTATCATGTTGCAAAAGCACTATGATTTGATAATAAATTTACAAATTGATCCTTAGTGCATTTTGTTTCAAACATTGTCATAGTCAGGTGGTAAGATGCGTGGGCCTTAAAAGGATTAGTTATCTTTGCCTCAGATTCTAAACCAAATCCTGGATTTAGCTCATGCTGCAATCATAATTATAAACCTTTAGGTCAGTCAGGAATGCCATGACTTTTACAAGCCGATCGCCTGTCTGATTGTCAAGATATTTATGATTGGAAATCGAAATTTCAAAGACTGTTTTCCTAACGTCTATTGGCGAAAATTAGTACCAGTATGATCATTTCAAAGCGCCATTTGGTTTAGGGCTTCAAAATTACACTTTATCACAGACACTGATAACACGTAGGGCCATGGATCTCCGATTTAACATTGTTAAACGATGCCTTTAATGCATATCAGAATAGTAACTCTACATTTCTACCTCTTTATGATGCAAAAGTATATACTAAGAAAAGAATCCTCTGTTACAATTTTTGTTGAAACCTGCAGTACTCTTGAAGAACAATTATAAGACATGTAAACTTGTTTAAATGCACATATCTCTGTTGGGTTCTAGCGCTGTATATATACAACACAATCTAGATGCCTACGTTGTACACATTTGACTTCGATCTCTTTTCTGGTCACACGTCATTTGAGAATGCTTTATCTTAACTTTTTGTTTGTCCGTTGGTCGTATCTGGGAGCTAACCTTGGACTTTGAGGGCCTCTAGGATTGGTTATAGTAACTTTATATA